CTCCAGAGGGACATGACTTTATCAGCAAATGTGAAGCCATGACTGTCCCCTACTAAATTTGGATTCTTTGTGTCAAGAGGCCAGTAAGCAAGGTGAGGAGACCCCATCCAAGGAGCCTGGGGATGGAGGGGCTGGAGCCAACCTAAGCCCAGAGGATGCCAGCTTCTATCCTGATGCTCCTGAGCCAGGGCCTTTTTCGGTCTTCTTCCATCTCTCTGTTAACCATTTAGCCCTTTCTTCCTTCTGGGCCTTCACACTCTGTTCGGTCTGATCTCAAATTTGTTGCTCTTTCCTCTTCTCTTCCTATCCCAGGCCAACCCTTCCCTTGCTAGCTTCTTCCATCTGGTCCAATCAGTCTTTCTGTCCATCTATGAGCATGCCTTCTCTTTATATTTTATATCAACTCATCAGAGTTCCTCTCACACTATCCAGGCCGTTCCTTTCCTAATGAAAGCTGGAGGGCAAGACAGACTGCTCTGGAGGTAGATTGCCTTGTGGGTTTGAATTCTGGCTCAGCTAGTATCTGTGCCCTTGGGTAATTAACATTTTAGGGCCTGTTTTTCCCTTTCTGCTCACAATACTACTCATATCACAGGGTTTGCAGGCTTTGAAGGAACGTTAAAAGAGCTTATGGTGGACTGTTAGTGGTAATCAGTATTAGTTGTTTTCATGTGAGCTCTTTGAGAGTAAGAACCTTCTTTTTAATCTTTGAGGGGATGAACCTTCTCTGGCCATGAATAGGGACAAAGGAACACCCTGTTCCTATTGCTGTCTCTTTCTTGGCCCTTCGCATCATCCCACTGGCAAGCTGTCTGCCCACGAGCTGAGTTCTCAGGTCTTTGTGAGGAGGGAGAACCTGGGACCAGTGTTCTGGGCTCCCACCGGCCTAGCACTTGGGAAAATGGAGCCCTAGTTCCAACTCTGCTGCCAGTGGTAAATATAGGATGTGCTTCTTTGGTTGTCCATGGTGGCATGACCAGCAATCCTGAAGATCATTGGCTTAAAACAACAGCCATGATCTCACGGGTAAGGAGGGCAGGCAGGGCTCAGGAAGCCACTTCTGCTCAGTGAGTGTGCACTGGGGTTCACAGGTAGCTGGAGTGGTCTGGAGGGCCCATAATGGCTTCATTCACATTCCTGGTGCTTTGGTAGACATGGGCAGAGGCATATTTCTATCATTCAGAGTTCATGTCATCATAGCTGGTATTTATAATGGCTTTCTTCACTACCCATTCTGTATTTCCTTTGCCTTTAGCAAGCACCTCAGCTGGTTGTGATTCTTTACCTGACAGTGTGATCCAAATCTTCATTCCTGAATGGTCTGAGCCATTAGCAGTCATGCTGACTTGGCTGTTATATTTTTCCATGGACTTTAATCACAGGGCATGGTAGTTCTGAGAGACTCCCTAAGGGATCTTCTGTATTCCAGACATATTTCCCTACCTTCACTGTGAGTAGCAGCCCAGTCTGCCGTTGGTTATCATGATCAATCAGTCTACATAGCTCAATATATTCCTTATTTGCCTGTTGGTTCAGGAGCAGGAAGAGCCCAAAGTGGCCAGGTGGCAGTCTCAACTTCAGTTCAGTGGGATCATTATTGTACCCCTTTTGGAACTTGGATTTCTAGATTAGTGGAGTTTAAGGTGGTGAGGGCGGGAAGCAAAATTTTTGCTAGTGGATCATGGGGGATAATAGTGAGTAAAGCCACTTCCATTTCCACCTCTTGATCCCTGGACCTATGAATCCTGGCTATCTGCATCTGGCAGGACATTGTGACAGTCCCTCAAGACATTTCTTTTTTTTTTTTCTTTTTAATATTTTTATTTATTTCTAGGAGAGAGAGCGTGAGCAGGGGAGGGTCAGAGAGAGAGGGAGATACAGACTCTGAAATAGGCTCCAGGCTCTGAGCTGGCAGTCAGCACAGAGCCCGACGCGGGCCTCGAAACCACGAACCGCGAGGTCATGACCTAAGCGAAAGTCGGACGCTTAACTGACTAAGCCACCCAGGCGCCCCCCTCAAGACATTTCTACCTACCTGGCACTGTACTGAGTCTTTGAAAGGCCCTTCTACCATTATGTCAAGCCAACTGCTTCAGGATGATGGGAAACATGGTAAGACCAGTGGATTCCATGAGCACAGGCCCATTTCTTCACTCCATTTGCTGTGAAATGAATTCTTTCACCAGAAGTGATGCCATGTAGAACACAAGATGGTAGATAAGGCATTCTGCTAGTCCGCATATGGTAGTTTTGGCAGAAGCATTGCAGCCAGGAAAGGGGAGACCATATCCAGAATAAGCATTTATTTCCACAAAACCAAAGTGCTTGTTGTTCCTTCCATGATGAAAGCTGTTCAGCATAAACAACTTGGAATGGTGCCATCCTGGGGACTTAATGGTTTCTGTTTTTGGCAAGTTGGGCACTCACCAGTGGCTATAGCCAGGCTGTCCTTGGTGAAGTATCCATGTTGCTGAGCCCATGCATAACCTCCATCCCTGCTATCAGGGCCATTTTGTTCATAAGCCCATTGGGTGATGACTGGGGTGGCTGGGAAAAGAGGATGAGTAGTAACCACAGAATGAGTTATCCTATCCATTTGATTATTAAAATACTCTTCTGCTGAGATCACCCTTTGGTGAGCATTCACATAGGACACAAATCATGTTTTTTTGTCCAGAGAGATCTAGCCACACAGCTCTCCCCAAAACCTCACCATCACCAATTTTCCAATTGTGTTGCTTCCAAATCCCTGATCATCTAACCAAACACTGGCTGCAACCCATGAATTGGCAGAAATTTATGCCTCTGGCTATCTCTCCGTCCAGGAAAAATAAACAGCCAGCTTTATTGTTATTCTCCAAGATCAATATGTTTTCTGTGCAGGCCAAAATAGGGAAGTTGAATCGGGATGTGGTGGAAATCATCACCCCTGACATCCTTCAAGAATGCAGTGTTGCTTTTGGTTTATTGTTTTCTTAGGTAGAGGCCGTTCTAGTGGCTTCCACTTGGCCTTTCCTGCCATAATAGTCCTCATTCCACAGATCAGGGAACTGATGTGAGAATTCTGCCACTTGCTGAGCATGTCTATTCCAATTCTGGAACTGGACGAGTAACCACAGGGTGGCATCAGGGACCCACTGCACCCACTGTGAGATGAACCTGAGTGAAAACTCCATGGATCACCTGTGCTCCATAAGCCGCTGCCCTGAATGATGGGTTTCCAGGAATCAGTTGAGAGTCCTTGTCCAATAATCTCTGAAGGGTATTATTATTTCTCTTTCTCTAATGCACAGTAGTGACCCTGGCAAGTAGCTGTTGGTCCCTTTGGGGAAGGCTGAGAGAAAGAGTAACAATATCAATTTTTGGCATTTAGTAGCGTCCTTCCTCAAGGGGACCCGGCCTTCCCTTTATTTAAGAAGTTCTGGGTCTGTAAAATGGCATAATCCTGGGAATTGAACGAAGGCTGTGACTCTCTGTTTTTAGGATTCTAGTTAAAATTCTGTTCACCTGACCTAGAATTCATCTACTAATACAGATCAAGTAAGAGTTTAGTAGAGTGCTCATCTATTTCTCTTCTAGGGATACCATGACCAATTAGCCAACATCATAAGGTCTCTGTGAGTCAGACTATTCTGATTATTGCATTGACTCTGTTCATAATGGTAACCATGACCACCTTGCCTGTTGGTGATTGGGGGCCATCACTTGGTCCTTGCCACTTCATGATGCAATTATCTTCATTGCATTTGGTGATCCAGTTCAGTGGCAGCAGTTCCCACTGTAATTTTTGACCTTCAAGGATGCTGGGGGTCCTTCACAAATTTATTTCTTACAGTCATGGTAAAAAGTGTCTCTTCTGGACCCTTCTGGGGTGGCTGAGCAGGCTTTGCTTATCAATAAATACACTTTAATATTACCATCTCCCTTTTCTTTGGATACCTTTCTCTATTGTATACCAAGGCAGTTCTGGCATTTCAACTTCATTTAGTATAGACCACTTTTGGGTTCAGCTTTCAGTCAACAAAAAAAGCCAGTTATAATACCTCCTAGCCCCTCGAGCTACAACAATCTGTCATCTGTACTCTCTGCTTAATAGGCCTACCTCTTTAAATTTGGCCCTAACTTTCTGTTCTTTTTGCCATTATTCCACACCCTAAATATCTGTTCCACACATCACAGGGTGAGGAGAGAGGAGGCACCAGATCCACGCTGATGGCTGAAAAACTTCTCACCAGACCTCCCAAATCTGATTGTTGGCAACTGTAGACAGAGTGTGTGAGAGTTCAGACGCTCTGGGTCAAAGTGAGGAGTGCAAGAGGTTGGTTGGGGAGCAACTCCCGTGAGAGATAAAACAGGAGGATGCAGGCCTGTGGAGAGGGAGACTCACAGGCCTGGGAAAGGCTATAGCCTCGTCACTCTCCATGGTAAAGGACATACACCTCCTCATATCTTTTAAAGTACCTTCTACACCCTGGGGCGCCTGGGTGGCTTAGTCGGTTAAGCGTCCGACTTTCGCTTAGGTCATGATCTCACGGTTCGTGGGTTCGAGGCCCGGGTCGGGCTCTGTGCTGACTGACTCAGAGCCTGGAGCCTGTTTCAGTCTGTGACTCCCTCTCTCTCTGACCCTCCCCTGCTCACGCTGTCTCTCTCTCCTAGAAATAAATAGAAACCTTTAAAAAAAAATAAAGTACCCTCTACACCCAATGTGGGACTCGAACTCACAACCTGGAGATCAAGAAGCCGGATCCTCTGCCGACTGAGCCAGCCAGGGGCCCCTGCCTCCTATCTTTGCCAGGCCCCAGCAACGGGAATTTTCCGCAGTGTTCGACTGACTCTCAGCTGCAGCCGCCTCAAGAGCCTCCTGGTGGCCTCTCGCCCCGCCCCTCTGCCAGCCCCGCCCCACGCCGCATCTGCCGGCCAATCCGCGGCTCCGCTCCGGGCGCATCACAATAGCGCCGTCCCGGCCCCGCCCCTAGGAGTCCCGCCTGGGGCCACAAACAACCTGGGCGGGATGGGGAGAGGAGGACTTTCCACAGAGGAAGTGGCCTCACTTAGCGAGACAGGCACAGGTACCCAAGGAGCAGGTGAGCGGCTGACGTGCTGCGACAGCGCGAAAACAAGTCTTTCAGAGCCCCACTGTCCCCCTTTTTGGGCCCCTCCTCCCGTCTCCTCATCCGTGTCACCTTGCAGATTCCTTCTGCTTACCCTGGCCTCTCAGGTCCTTGACTCCGTGTCCCCGACACCAACGTTGTTTCTTCCTCGATAATCATTCCTTCTTCCTTAAGGTAATAGCATTCTTTGGGCGTCTTGAGCAAAGTGCGCAGAGCGGTGCCCCGAACGCCTTTCCCACTGTCACACATTGGATTGGAGGGGACATTCTGGCCCACTTCTGACCCGTAGGACCGGGAACTTGGGACTGGGTGTCTGTGATCTGAGAGCTTTGTCTCCGGTAAACGACGTGTGGAGCTGTTGGGCCATCCATGGCCCCGAGGAAGGAAGAGCCTTTTGGGGAGGTGGGTTTGGAGCCCTGCTTACAGTGGTTGAGAGGTTGAACTAACTGCCCCCGCGGGGGTGATACCCATTTCTCGCTCCCAGCCACACCTCCAGGCTTTCCACTTTACCTCACCTTCCCTCTTCCTTGAAGCCCCTTTCCCACTTTGCTTGAGGTGACGTTTCTTGGTGTTTTCTCAGTGGGCCACACAGAACCTCACCTTCTCCATCTGACATGGTGGCAGGATTAGCCCTGGGACCTTTCCTCTTTTTCTCATCTAGCTAAGTGAAGTTATTGAGGCTGTCAGTTTAATCCTGTGGGCTGACTGCTCCAAACTGCTGTCTCCAGTCCGTTTTTCTGGACACAAGGCCCAAATGGCCATCTACCTTATACACACCCACACGTGGGTATCTAATAACACCTCAAATTGGGCATGGTCGAGATAAAATTTCTGATGGTCATGCTTCAGAAAACTTGCTCATCAGCAGCATTCCCCATTTCCATGGAAGGAACTGGCTTTGACTCCCTGTTTTCTCTCCCATCTCGTATCTGGTTCATGTCTAAACCCCATTGCTCCCCACTTCACTGCTCCTTCTCTAAACTACTGCAAGAGCCTATGAAAGGAACCCCCTGTTGTTTCTATAGCCAACTGATAAACTTTCATGGGAACTTTTATAATTCACAAAGACAATTTTTTCTCTAGGAAACTGGCAGTGATATATAGAGATAGAGAGATAGAGGCTATGAAATATGTGTTTGGCAAAGGTTCAGGAAATAGGAATGCTAGTTTTCTGCTGGTAAGAGTGTAAATTGGTATCAACCTGTTTGGAAGTCTTATTTGGCTGCATGTGTCAAAATTCTTACACTGACTCAAAAATTCTATTACTAAAAATTTATTCTAACAGGAGTGCCTGGGTGGCTCAGTCAGTTGAGCATCTGATTTCAGCTCTGGTCATAATCTCACAGTTCGTGGGTTCAAGCCTCACATCGGGCTTTGTGCTGAGAGCTCGGAGCCTGCTTGGATTCTGTCTCCCTCTCTCTCTCTGCCCCTCTCCCACTTGCATGCTTTTTCCTCTAAAAAATAAACATTAAAAAAATAAAATTTTATTCTAAGAAACAAGGACATGCACAAGATAATTATTGACAAGGGTATGCACTAAAATTTTATTTCAAAGGTGGTGAAATGTAAACTTTAGCATGGGACACTGTTGCTTTATAACTTCCAAATAATACACACAGCAGCATTTCTGACAAAAGCATCTGTTATGCGGAATGCCGGGCAATGTGTCAGGCAGTAGCTCTCTGAGGGAGGACTGGGACCCACGTGTCCATGGCCACTGCCCAGAGCTCACCTGGCAACATGGAGTGAAGCTCAGCTATGGCCTTTTTCTCACCTACCTTGCTCCTGGGGGTGTGTGTGTGTGTGTGGAAATTCTGCCCTGAAGAGGTGGAGGCAAGAATGGAAGCAGGAATATCAGGTTCTCCAGCAGGGAGGGGGCGCAGACAGGTACCAGGACTCTGGCAGGAGGGAGGGAACAACATTGTTCTATGGAAACTACAGGAACATACTGTACTGATTTCACAAACCTGCTCCCATATCAATGAGTGCCCTTGATGAAGCACTTACCCATGATCTTAGTTGATACCCAGGCTGGGGCTGAATCAGTGGTCATCAAAGCCCAAAGGAACACTTTTCCTTCAGGCCTCCAAGTGAAAATGAGATATAACACCATGGTCACTCATGACACTGTGCTGTTCTAAGTTCTTTGAATGCATTGATTCATTTAAGATTTGTAACAAGCCAAAGTGATGAGGCTCTCATCATTATTTTATAGAAAGGGAGAACAGAAATGCAGAGAGGCCACGGGTCCTGTGGCAGAGCTGGGGCATGAACTCAGGAGTTGTCACTCCGGTTCCATATGCTCAGCCACTGTGACTTGGATCCCAGCTGATCTTTGGCCTTGCTCTCAAATGCCTTCCCTGTCTCACCGCCTTGCTCTGGGAAAAGGAGCAGGTTGAGGGCTGGGAGTAGGTGAATTGTCCTGGCTGGTCATGTCACAGACTACTTTAAAATATGAGATTTATTCTTGATGCCAAGATCCTTTTTAGGAAGGGCTGAAGCAGAGGGTGAGCCTGGAGAAGTGGGAGCTGCAGATGTCTCCCCAGGCATGAGCCTCACATCCTCTCATCATGAGGGCTGGAGACTGAGGGGCAGGAGGCATGCTGGGCTACCACTGAGTCTTCATTTTCTTCTCCACCAGGGCACAGGCTTGCTACCTATTCATGGAGTTTGTAAGTCGGCATGAAGGCCCATTGACTGAAGATGTGTGACTTTGCCCCACCCTGTACACTGATGGCAATGCAGTGCCAATGCACAATGAGACAACACACTGCAGATTCTTGAAACAGGTCAGTGCCCCAGCCCCAGAGTCATGGTGATTTACTTGTTTCTCTTCAAACTAAGAATCCTAGGACTCCTTTCCCAGTTCCTTGGGATAGTCTTCAAGGTAATGTTAGCTGATGCTAAGAATCCTGTACCCATGAGTCTTTTTGTAGCATCCTTTGCTTAGTGTCCAACCAGTCCCTTCCACCCTGGCTTTGAGACAGTTCTTTTTGGACCTGCAACTTTTGGCTTTTAACTCATAAAGGATCTTCCAGCAAGCATGGCAGAAAAAGCAGAAACCATCTGCCAAAGACAAGATGAGTGGTTAAATTATAACAGCAATACTAGAATGAAAAGTAACCTTTTTGGGGGGTTTGATACAGAACTATATCAGATGTCTCCAGAAGGCACAAGCACATGGACACAGCCAGACTTTCCAAGTCACCCTGTGAAGTGTACAGACTCGAAAATGTTTTTATTAATATAACATTTTATTAATGCTTTGTACATTTGCCTATACAAAATTAACCTCTGAACCATTGAACTTCATTTTTAGTTTTATAGCTTTTCCTACCCTGTGGGATGGATAAGTAGGTCAGCAGGTCAACCATTTAATGGTACACTAATAAAAAATGTGGAGCTTATTAAATGTAAAGGATAGTGCCGTGCCTATTATTTGCAAAGTCTCTCTTGCACATGATTGCCATGTCAGGGCGGTAAGGTGAGGGGCAAGCCTCTGGGGCTAGTGGCTATCCAGGAAACACCAAAATGTGTTGGGTGTAAAACCATGCTGACAGTCTTGGTTTTTGACATCGAAAAGGCTGTCTGAAGAGACTGGCCTCTTGGCTGAGGCTGAATCCCAAGTACTTGAGAGGAAGACATAGGCACAAGGCCACAGATAGAGAATGTTCAAGGGCATACGAGGCCAGCCTTTTCAGGATACAACACAATGTAGCAAAAACTACAAAGAAATCAAGGAAATCATTAAAACTGCAGATAAAAGTGGACCTTAGAGTGGGTCAGGGGGTTATGTCAACATCCAGTGCCAATGGTTTTCACCCTTGAGATGTAGAGTCAGGCTCAGGCACACAGAGGATGTCTGAGATAATGGCATGTTCTATTTCGCAGGCTGGGTCTTTACTTATGAATATATTGGCTCTTATTTGTTAGTGCTTTTTATATCTTACCTTTATAACCTCTTATATACAAAATATCACATTTATTCTTTTAAGGTGAGAAACATGATTACATACAAAAACTTGAATCACAGCAATATCTGTGGAAGCCTAGGAGGATAACTTTTGAGTCTCCGTGACATAAATGTCCTATGTGAATGTGGTTCAGGAAAAACTCACCTTCAAGATGAGTTAAGGGAAAAGAACCAGCAAAGGGTCACTGTGAAGATACTGCATGAAAGGAGAAGTAAAGGAAACACAAATGGATGAGTAAGAAGACCTGCACGAGACACCTGAAAAGTTTGGCCAAACGTCTGTATCACATGACACAAACTGATAAAGGAGTCACCTCCTTGCAAACAAGGGACATATGCTTTGTTTCTTTTTTTTTTATTTTTAAAATGTTTTATTTATTTCTGAGAGAGAGGAGAGACAGCGTGAGTAGGGGAGTGTCAGAGAAAGGGAGACACAGAGTCTGAAACAGGCTCCAGGCTCTGAGCTGGCTGTCAGCACAGAGCCCGATGTGGGGCTCGAACCCACAAACCACGAGATTATGACCTGAGCCGAAGTCGGATGCTTAACCAACTGAGCCGCCCAGGGGCCCCAAGGGACAAATGTTTTGATACAGGAGCCGAGGGGAAGGTGGCAGGACCTCAGAGGCAGTGAAACATGACCTGGCAGAGCTCAGGGATGAAAAGCCCAAATCAGGAATAATTTCCTCTGAGAGCAGGCAGTGGGAAAAGGAGAAAGGGGGTTGCTGTTTTCTGTGATGCAACCTTCGAGAAGTATTTGGCTCTTCAAACTATTTGATATATACCTATGATTTGAAACATTTACAAAGAGCCTTTTTCTTCACTCCCACCCAATATCTGAGCCCTCTGGACAGATGCCCTTGCAGGGATGTCTGCAGTGGCTGGGAGGCTCATTATATGACTGCTTTGCAATGGAGGGGGGCCTTCATTAGGACAAGCTGTTCTCTCCCTTTGCCCCATTACTCCATATTAGCTGGCTCTATATCTCTGCTTTCCAGGGCTCCATGAACTTCTAGTCTGCCTCTCATGGGTCTTTTACCCTTGTTCCTTAATCTAAGCTTCTTAAACACCAAATCCCTGATCTCCCAGGTAGCACAGCCTTGGTTCATAGTCCCTGACATCAAGGCCCTCTTTCTTGTGTCAAAAGTACCCTGGTCATCCCTTCCCTAGGACCCTGGCCCTCCATTTGAGTCTCCATTTCTTTGTGTTCTGGCTCACTGCATCTGGACATCTGAGCACTGAATTAAAGATGGGGATGTGGGGACCTGGAAGTGATGCAGAGACAACAGTTTAGGTTGTATACCATTACCATAGAAACATCCAGGCATGTGTTCTGGGTGCACCTTCAGTGGGGTGGGACCAGAGATAGACCAGGAGGTATGCCAGCCTCCACCCCACACAGTGTATCTGAGCAGCTATTCTCCTGTTAGGTCTCTTCTCTCCCCTAATCTTCCCAGACCATTGGGTCCCTGAGAAGCATCAGGTTCCTGGGGCTCAGTGAGGAATTGGGGAAAGACAGGATTGAGGGGCTGCCCCACTTCTATCTAGATCAGTGTGTGAGGGAGGCAGAATAAGTATCAGACAAGGAGCCCATCACAGGATAGGGCAGAATAAACACCAGCTAAAGGAGATCATCAGAGGACCCTCAGAATGAAAGACCAGAGTGAATGAAGTGAGGAGGTTTATTACATATAGAGAAGACCGGAGAGTAGAGAAGCAAGTCTAGGAATGGAAGTGCATGAAGAAGGCTGGATATACTAGAAGGCCCATGTGGCCCCAAGATATCAACATATTTGACTCTGGCATAGAGGAGGCCCAAGTCTTCAAGGTGTGGCAAGGTCAGGGCTTTTAATGAAATAATATCTGTTAAGAAGGACCAGGTGATATAATGTCTATGCTGCCCGAGGATTTAAGTTCTGGGCCCGTTTCTTGATGTGTTCTGGAAGCCAGTGCTTATTACCACTTTATTCTTAGAAACATTGAGTGAATCAACAATGAACTGAGCCAAAGTTTAAAAATATCTGCAAAGATATGTTGCAAGTGCTTTGAGTATGGCCAGATTGTGAATATAAGGCTAAAGCAGCAGAATTACCTTTTGAAAAACCTGCAAGACTGGAATTCAAAAGGCAGCTTTCAAAAGACATATTCATCAAATCTTTCCAGAAAAATCACATCTGAGTCAAGAGGGTTCTTTTGACTCACCTTTTGAAATTAGGAAAGTCTTTCGCAACCTATCAGCAATGTCCAAAACTGCTTCTTTAGTTTCTGAATGTGTCTGAGGACGGGGGCTCTGCCTTACCTAGGGAATCACCCAAGAGGCCTCAAAGCAGTTAAGCTGGGTACAGAAGGTGCAAGACCACACTTGCTAGTGGTCCAGAGGGTTACGCCAGTCTGCAGAGGCTCACAGGGCTAGAGTGAGCAAGGTGAAGGCCTTAGATATGCAGGAAGGTTGAGAGAAATGAAAGGTACAAGAAAGTGCCAAAATACAAGCAAGAAGCAAAGGCCATCTAGGCAAGTAAAAGCTTACAAAGAGTCAAGAATGGAGGAAAAATGACAAAACTGTGAACCCATCTGGAATGCAGGCGAGCATCTTTAGTACCAGAGAGCCCCTGACCTCTCCACCCCTGCTAGTGGCTACAGGGCAAACTCTGGTCAAGGACAAGACAGAAGTGACAACACCAAGAAAGTATCCGTAGCAAGCACAAGTAAAGTCATTTCTAGGAGGAGCTGGGGGCTCAAGGCAATGCTTCTCTTGTTCACGGAGTGAGATTTGGGCTAGAAGAGGGGTCTCCCCTGGCCTCCATTTCACTTAGGGATTGAGAACTTTAGTATAAATGTAATTCTTTTCCAGAATGCATTTTTTTCTCCCAATTTCTAGAATTTATTGTGAAGTGAAAGTTTTGTCTACCTGTGCTAAAGATAGGTTTAAGGCCCTTCCTACTTGTGTATATCTGGCTACATGTGAAAAAAAATTTTCAAAATTAAGATGAATAAAAAGAATGCTTTTGTTTTATGTCATTTATAAGAAGCTTCCGTAGAGAGTGTGCTGTCCCCTGCTGGATGGGCACTGTTCGTCTTGTCAGAAGGAACTGGGATGTGAAGAATCCAGAGTTCTTGACCATGTTCCCGCTGGACCCTCAACAAAAGCAAGGTTGTCACTTGTGATCCCATTTGGCTCTCAGGACTGTGCTGTGCAGGAGGTGGTGTCCCCAAGGGTCTCTGAAGTTATTATACCCCTTCCTCCACAGAAAGGAACGTGTCAGAAGAGCCAGCATAGGAAAGTTCGTGGTGCTTAGGTAGGTTTTGAGCACTTAGTGCTTTACCTCCATCAGAACTTACAATTTTTAAAAAATGTTTATTTATTTTTGAGGGAGAGAGACAGAGCATGAGCTAGGGAGGGGCAGAGAGAGAGAGGGAAACACAGAATTCAAAGCAGGCTCCAGGCTCTGAGCTGTCAGCACAGAGCCCAGTGCCTTGATGCAGGGCTCGAACTCACAAACTGAGATCATGACCTGAGCCAATGTTGGATGCTTAACTGGCTGAGCCACCCAGCACCACAGAACTTCCGATTTTTGAAGTGAAAGAAAGTCCTGAGATACCGCGTCACTTGCTCAAGATCGCACAACTAGTTTGTGACTGAGAGGTCCTGTCTTCTGGCCCTCAGGGCTCCTGTGGGCTGTGGTTGCCCTTGGTGCACTTACCTCAGCCTCGCTCTCCTATCTCCTCAAGCGATGGGCAAGTGGGCCCCAGCAAAGTGGCTTCTCCACTAGTGACATGTAAAGTGATGCCAAATGTTTGATTACAGAGGGGGGCTGTCAGCTTAGTTGCTGCTCCATGTGTGATGGGGTTTATCATCTCCATTTGCCTCTCAAGAGGGGTGCACTGCACTGTCACCCCAACCCAGATGCTGTGGCACCCAGAACTGTGCAGGTTCTTATTATTCCCATGAATTCACTCTCCAGTTTTCTTAGGCTTGCTCTGCTTTCCCTGTGTTCTTTTCAGAGCACCTGACTTAAGGGCAGAGAGGTGAGGAGAATGACCTCAAGGTCAGAGAGGTTGCAAAAGAGGCCCACACGTTACATCTAGAGGCCACCCCCTGACTCCATGAGCCCAGAGCCACCTGCCCCTTTCCCAGTCCCTCTTCTGCCTCATGAAAGCATGAGTGCTTTCACCTTGTCAAGATGACCCTCAGAGGCCTGGCCAGGGCTGATTTATCACTTTTGTGTTGATGCAATGGTAGGGACTTCATTGCTTGGAACAAGCCTGCCCTGTGCACCATTCGTCTAACCCCCAATGATCACAAAGTTGCCTGGCATTCAGTTTGGCTGCTGTCTAAAAGGGCAGGATCAAAATTTCTGAGATCAACTCCCAGAAGACCCATTGGGTAAACAGTTGTCTTCATTGCCTGGGACCTGGGCTATCTGGCTGACTCTGGAAGTGAATTAATTTCTTCTGCAAGCTCTTGACTGTCTCTCCAATGGATGACCTGGCCTGCATCTCCCTGGGTAACTGAAAAACTAACCTCTTCTCACAAGCTGCCAGGCTGATGTCTGCTGCGTCTGAACCGGGAAACCTGGAGAATGCTGGCAGCCCCCTCCTTATGCTTTGCCTCTGTTGGGATCTCAGAGTTCCCTCACAGTCCTCAGAAGCAGGTGAACCTAGAGAAAGTCTTAGTTTGAGGTCCCTGAAGCCCAAGGGTGCCTGACATTACATTCAATATTGTGTATGGAGATGATGTATTCAGAATTGTATGTAGATGACAGTGTGCAATTTCTGAGGAGACGACCAATAGCATTAGTTCAGTTCTCTAAAGGCCTAGGACCCGTGAGAAGTTATGAGCCATTTATCTAGAGACCCATCCATCTCTGAAAGGCCATGGTAAACAAAATATCATTAAAATTTTTTTTAAGTTTATCATTTTTTGAGAGAGAGTGTGAGTAGGGGAGGGGAAGAGAGAGGGAGACAGAGGATCCCAAGCAGGCTCTGTGCTGCCAGCTCAGAGCCCGATGTGGGGCTTGAACTCAAACTGTGAGATCATGACCTGAGCTGAAACCAAGAGTTGGATGCTTAACCAACTGAGCCACCCAGGCACCCCAACAAAATATCATTTTAAATAAAGAAGGATCAGTAACAGTGCTGTGCTCAGCTATATTGGAAGTTGAGGCTGAAGGAAAAATCAGTAATGGTGATCCTGATTTTATTTAAAACCATATAGATGCTGAAAGGACCATCTTCAGATGACATTCAAACCACATGGAGATATGCAGGGCAGGCCCCAGGTGTGGTGGACCATTCCTGGGGTGCTGCCTTCACAGCTCAGTGTCTACACAAATGGGACG